AACCCCAGGCTTCAACCTTTGTACTGCTGAAATAGGAAGAAATCCCGCTTGAAATATCCATCTATACAAAAAAGTTACTCCTTGAGGTAATAATTTTTCGATAGGCATGAGAACGTTAGACCTCCAGCAATCTTCTACATCCCTTTTAACGCTAAGGTTACGTGTTTCCGCCGGGTAAAATGGAAATTGATTCCCTGCCGGATAATCAGAAAAGTTCGCGGCATCATAGAAAAAGTTCTGCCATTCGTTTACTGCTATTGGATATAGAGGATTGACTGATACTGTTGTCCCAGACGTCTTATCTGGTGGGAGCCAGGTGCAATCTGGAACGGTGAGAGCAACCACTTGTCTTGCTGATGGCATGTTTATCGTTGTGGAAAAAAACTTTTTATTGAGGAATCATCAATACGTGTCAGATCGAGGAGAATTGTGCAAAAAAGGAGAAAAAAAGAGAGCTGTGATTTACCTAGTACGAAAATCTCCGATTCCGCAGCACATTAACATGGCCGTCACTAATTTCGCAGCAGGATAATGCTATTCACCCGATTAGGACGACAACTAAAATTGAGTTGCACACTGTTAGGACCAGGCAAAACTGGTGACTGTGTTGTATAGAAGGTTTGCATATGGTCATGTGATTAAAATTTTTTCTCTCTTTAAATTTTTAAAACTATTTCCAAAGTAAGTGTCAATTTGTTATTGATGCTTTGATTGTTAACATATAGAAAGTATGAATTTCTCTCCAGTTTGCTATACTTTGTTTTTGGATGTTGTTTAGCATATTCATAAATCTCATGTTCATTATCGAGGCTCAAATGAGGAGAATTAATGTGTGATGATTTTTAAAGCAACAATCATGTAATTATGCATGCATAATTTTCAATCTTTTGGTCACTTTATGCTGAATATATAATAATAAATATAAACACTAAACCTTGAATGTTACACAATACTAGTGATTCCAAAATCGGGTGACAGTGACTCACATATGATTGTGACTCTAAGGGAGGAAAATCACTATGAAAATGGCAGGGACTGAAACTGTGGGGGAGGTGTGACTGTATAGGATGTGACTGTATAGGATGTGACTGTAGGGGAGGTCGACTGTACTGTATATTGAAATTCCGTGACAAACACAAATTATCCCATTTATCCAAAAATCTGGACAATTTAGTGAAACGACAATTAGTTATAATACAAGTCGTAGACAGTAGCTGAAAATCATCTTCAGATCATTCAGCAAGACGTTGCTATTAGGATAGTTCCTTTATTTCTAATAAAAATCCGATTCAAAAAAATACTTGCATCGTTTGGCGAAGTGTAAAACGCTTTCCCCGTCAGCGGTGAATGGAATTAACTCTTGCCGGTTAATTCTATTTAGTACTTTTCGTTTTGCAATCAGGATTATTGTTTAACGTTAATTATTGTTAACAGTTTAGATAAAGATAATTCCCCGATTCGATAGAGATTACTCGAGGTCAAACGATAATCTAGGGCTTAACATAGACTTTCTCCTTGATAATAAAATGGTAACAGCAATTGTAATGATAAATAAACTTATTCACCTTGTTAAGCTTTATCATACTACAGTTATAGATTGTGAACAAAATATTTAATCAAAGAGCTATGTTTGTTCAAAGTTGTATGCTTTTTTATCTTTGTGGACAGATTCTTTTAAAATTTACATAATAATACAAGTGAAACTCGATGGGCCGAAGTCATGCTAAGCCGAAATTGCATTAAGCCGAAGTTTGTTTTTTTTTTTTTTTGATTCCCCAATATTTTATTATAGCCTAAGCCGAAATTAATTAGCAAATTCGCGTTAAACAATAAGCCGAAGATTTTTGGCTAACCGACTATAATAATTTTATCGAAGTAATCACGTGAATTTATCTCGATTGGTTCGTTCTTAAATAATCAGACCAGCCATCACTGACTCTTTAGTTTCGCGAGAACATTTTAAAAGGGTAGTATATCTTAGTCGTTGTTATTTGCTTCTATCTCCACGCTCTGATGGCATCACAAAATATACCTACGCCTGTATGTGACCTGGCCATTTATTTATATTTATATTGGACTCCTGCAGCCGATGTTTGGAAGGGGGACTTGCACGCCTACTAGGACTCATTACAGTTGTAATCCCCTTAGATAGATTCGTTGCAAGGGAACTCTTTCCAGTATATTAGATTTAATGAGTTTCCTATGTCCGTACGTGACCTGGCCATTATATTGGACTCCTGCGGCCAATGTTTGGAAGGAGGACTTGCACGCCTACTAGGACTCATTACAGTTGTAATCCCCTTAGATAGATTCGTTGCAAGGGAACTCTTTCCAGAAACTCATCTTTGTCAATGCCATTACCGTGATTTTCTTATAGTTAATGCTTACATTATTATATTTCTTAGTAACTAAATTATTTTAACTTTTTTGTATAGATGGATATTTCAAGCGGGATTTCTTCCTATTTCAGCAGTACAAAGGTTGAAGCCTGGGGTT